CTCCCCAGGGAGGCAGCAGGTGCCTGGGGAGAGGCTGGAGAGCGCCCGGGGCTCAGGGCAGCAGCTGGGCGAGTTCAGCAGAACAAAGAAAAGGCTTGAATGGTTAAAGCTCGAAGTTGGGTTTTGTTTATTCAACAGCAAATTTGTTCAGGTGCCAAAAGACAACTTGAAACAGAAGGGAAAAAGGAGAAAAAAATAATAATAAACCCCCCAAACTGAGGTCTCAAAGTGGTGGTTTGAGCCGAGCCGGGGGCGGCCGAGCTCCCAGCCCGGGTGCTCCCGGGTTGGCGGTGGCTTACGGAGCAGCAGGGAACCGAGGAGCCGCTTGGGTTTTTCCCCAATTTGAGGCACTTTTTGTGCTGCTGCCGCCATGGGGCAGCGCGAGGCCAGGGCTGGCGGCAGCCCCAGGGCAGCACGAAGGCACCGGCAGCCCCATCCACCACCTTCAGTGTCTTTATTCACACAGCTAGGAAGGACTGTAGCAATTTTCAACTGGTAGCGCCTAAGTTTAGCTCTGCTAATTGATATTGCTATAAATTTAATTTAGGGGCAGAGAAGGAGAGGCTGGGCACGAAGGGGAAGGGAGTAAAACAAAGATTTCCCCAAGCAAAACACCGGAAAGGGCTCAGGGATGAAGTGGGAGGGTTCCCCCCATTCCTTGTGCAGTCCCAAAGTCAAGGTCAGGGTGGGGGGATTCCTGTCAGTCTTCCAAGATGCAGCAGCCTTGGCGGATTCCCAAAACCTCACCGGCTCCTCCCGGCCCAACCATCGTGGCTGGAGCCCCGACCGCCCATGTCGCAGTGGCCGTCGTCATTGCCAGCATGAACAAGGGGCTGGGACATGGGGCAGGCTCGGGACAAAGCCAAAGGGCAACAAATAGAAAAAAAGAGAGAGGCCGGACGGACCTGGGGGCATCTCTGCCCCATTCGAGGGGCAGGGGGTGGGATGGAGGTGGCAGGGAGTGGGCGAGGAAAGGGAAGGGCCCCCTGTGTCCCCGAGGCCCCCAGCACAAGGGCTGGGGGAGCACAGATGGGAGACACGCACATGAAACGGGGGCAAGGGAAGAAAGAAGAGAAATGGCACAAACCACCCCCCAAAAAGAAAAAAAAAAAAAAAAATCAAGTGTAAACTTTCCTTCGTGAACAGCTCTAGCTCGGAGCCTCCTGTCACGGAGCAGACGTTCCTGGCGGAAGGAGCGCTCGGAGCTCTCAGGAGTTGGCTCCCCGGCCGGGGCCCGCGCGGGGTTTGCGCTGGGGGAGCCCCTGGGTTTCTGTGCTGGGGGCAGAGGGGAAGGGGCAGCCCGAGGCCGAGGAGGCCCCGGCCTCGCCGGGAGGAGGCTGCAGGGGGGGATTTTGCTGCTTGCCGCGGGGTCGGTGCCGGCTCGCGCCGTGGGAGCGCCCAGGGGCCGGGGGGCCGGGGTGGCGCTGGCCCTGGGAACGGGCCCCTTGTCCTGGTCTCCTGGGCCCCTGGAAAGCCTGAAACAGAAGACAGGGCACAAGTGAGTGGTGACAAGGACAAGACCTGGGGTCCCAGCTGGTGCCTCCCACTCCCAGGGAGAGGTGAAGAGCCAAAACCCCCATTTGGAGCAGAACCATCAAAGCAGAGCCACCTCCTCCTGCTCCCAGGGCAGCAGCAGGTCCCAGCTCCTGGCAGGGAGGAACCCGGTGCAGAAGTAGCACGAGGAGCCACCACCCACGGGGCAAATTTCCCTCAGCTTTAGGGTGTCGGCGCGCCGGGACCAGGGCAGTTACCTCTTGCGGCGGCTGCGGCGGGTGGCCGGGGGCCACGGGG